TATCAAAACGGTACCCCGCAAGTCGGTGGGCATTCCTTGTGGGGTACCTCCCATTGTTCCGGTACCCCACAAGGCAGTGTTTGTACACGCACATAAGTGTGTATTGTTCCTCTTTGTACTCTTGAAGACCTCCCATATATTTAGTACACGAATCCAAATTGTGGAGCTCTCGGGAAGTGGGGACCCTATTGTCCTCTATTGTTCAACGTCCCCTATTGAATGCAGAAACAAACACACATACGATACATACATAGTGTGGACATTCTTTTGTTTTGTGTAGTTAAGAAAAACCTGTGAAAAAAACCCTCATTTCACTCACACTGTGAAGAAAAACTCTTTCATCCACTTTGATTACTATGATTCCCTCGAGTGTTTCTTTTTTTTTTGCGACGAATAAAGCTTACTAAAAAAAAACTTAACCAGAGAGGGGGAAATCTTGTGTGGACGTGGGTAAGTTCACACAACGTATCTGACACCTGGTTTATGGTGACATCTTTTGCTCGGAACCCCACACAGTGAATGTAATGCTTGCACACACACAAACACAAAATAAAAAGAACTTATCTGGAATTTTCATTTCCCAAGGTTTCTTGTTTTTATGTCGGCAATTTTTGTTCTCGTTGATTATTAAGTTGAACAGGTTCACAACCTAAAACAGTATAATTCAGGTATTCCTAATAGCCTTAAAATAGCCAATAAATCTCAACACCAAGCATTCCCGAGAAAACAAAAAGTTGTTAGATTAAGGTTTAGCTGAAACCTATGTTCGAGAAACTGTCACACAAAGTTACTGCTTTCGTTTCAATTCGTTATTCATGTGAATGTCTACTGATCTTTCTATCATTGTGTCACTGATTGGCTTAACCCTGTTTTTCTTTTCAGTTTTGTTTAAAAAAAATGTTCCAAAAAGGTGGTAGCCTACTTACCTGGGCACAATATGTTGAAGATGGAGACAATTAGTAGGAACATGTAGACACCAATAGAAGCTCGCTTACCTGAGGCCATTGTTGGGTGTGTTAACTCGCACAAGGAAACAGCAATTCATATGTAATCGTAATTAGTCAGCTTGCTTGATTTAACAAAACAAAGATCGCGTCATGCAATTTCACTTTCTACATTTGCTTAATTTATTTTTACGACAAGCAATGTGAGGTCAACGAAAGGCCATGAAAAGCTATTACATTTTTTTTAATCATTATATCTGAAAACAGTACGGACAAAATGCCGGGCACTATGCCCTCATTTCAACTTAACAACTCAAAGAAGTAAACCTAGACTCAAAGAAGTAAACCTAGTCTGTTATGGACAGGGGGAATGAAAAAAAAGACCCAAGAATATTAAAGTACCCTGGTAAAATATAGCTTGATTGCTGGAATGTAATTAGGGCGCAGATATTTACATGATGGAGTGCGGTGCGGAATTGTGAGGATGGTCGCGGGTTCGATCGAGTCTGCATGGCCAGGGAAAAGACGACCCGTGGCAGGAAAATATGAGGCGGGTTCGTGTTCCGTGGCAGCGTCAGCCAAAATATTATTTGCCTTTTTTATGAATAAATATATAAATACCAGTGTAAGTAAAAAATAAGTAAATTGTTCTGCATGGATGTTTGGCCGAGCGGGAATACAACCCACAATCTCCTGCATGAGCATCAGGGTACCCACAAGTAGGCCAAAAAAAGAGCAACTATAGGCCTACACGCTCTTCGTACGTGACATGTAAAAAATAATATATAAGTATTCTGTTCGCAACAATGCAAACGAAACAGCGAGCGAAAGTTTGTATATAAGGTTAGCGCGCATGCGCTTTCTTACTCCACCCCCCCCCCCTCGAAACGACAGCTTAGTCAGCGCGTGTGTCAACTCGTTCTGAGGGATATTTGAAAACTTCAGTTGGTGACAGTTAAAATTTCTTACCAAAAGGAAGTACTGTTCGGCAATTTTAAGAAAAGAAAATGTTTTCGACGAAGAGAAAGTTGGGAACCCAAATTAAATTTCCTAAAACTTGACCAAAAGTACGAAAACACACTAACCATTTAATACAAATCTAGCTCCATGCACTCACTAGCCTAATGATCGATAAATAGCACACATGTTCAAATGCATTTAGACTTCAAGCTAATAAAATGGGTCGCTCGATAATTATGGGAAACCTAAATTATCAGCTGAAAATATTATTGTGAAATCTGAATGGGTGAATTTTACGGGTTAAAAAACATTTTAAAGGGAAACGTACTTTCGAGTAGTTTAGAGAAAAGGCAAACTGTGCCTTGGTATTCTATGAAAAATGAAATATAGCTGTTGCCAACACTGCTTACTGACTGGATTAAACTGAGATTAGAGCTAACCAAAAAAGTTAGAGTGCCTGTCTCCATCGTGACAGGACCTATGTTAACGCTAAATGAATTTACATTAATACATTGTCGTTGTTGTGATTATATTTCTGTACTTAAATTGAGAGTCAAAATAAGTGTTTGTTTTTAACTTAACTTCCCTGTGTTATATTTGGAGAAAAAAAATGTTTTTGGTTGAAACAACTAGTACTGGCAAAGACAGGAAAGAGAGTTTCCAGACTTTTGTCTACCATCAGATTTTGCGAATCTGGGAGAAAAACGTTACAGTACGGAAACATATGCATCTTTTAAAAGACTTTTTGATTTACAATCTCATTCTTGCAAATAAAACAAAGTTAGAAACTTTAATTTTCTCAAATGCGGCATGTACACATTTTACTCAGCACTTTCTTATACTGAAGTAAAGAAGTGAATAGACGGTTGAATTTTGTACTCCTACCATTATTTAAGCTATATTTACTTTAGTTTTGAATGATCTTAATATGTTTAACGTGATATGCTAAACTATTTTCGTCAAAGTTGTACAGAAAAGATTTACCTCAAATATGTTACAGATATACAACTATACAAAAACACATAACGAATTTATCTTCAAGCAAACTTGACGCACAGGTCAGATGAAACGCGCACGCTGTCCGCGAACTATCAGCGTTCATCCTTTGTATACGTGCGTGCTGCAGGAATGGCGCGTTTATCTTTGTTTTCCGGTTCGTTAGTGTGACGTCATCTCAAGTCAACCATGTATTCTTCACACAATGTAGCAAAGCAAGAATGGAACCGGAAGCTAACGCACCCCGAGCGTTTATCCAATGGGCGCTAGTAATCAGTAGTGCGCGCGCGGGTATGACGTTTTTACTAACGAACCGGATAGCGCCATTTGTTATATCATGTGCTTGGATACTGTCATTTCATTGGTCTAGAACGGCCACGTGTCCAATCCGTAAAAACGTAACCTTTAATTTCATGAACACTGCGTTGCATACAAACTATATCATATACACTGTGTTCCATAATTATAAATAAGCGTCATATACACTGCGCTGCTTATTAATTACGCGCGTTGCGCGTTGTGCGTCGCACTCGCGACTGAGAACTGCAACCACTCAGTCTCATGTCACGATTCCTACAGGAATGCATGCAGCTATGAAAGGTTACACCACAGTGTTTTAAAGATATAGTCCATCATTTGTAATTTGTGCATTTTGTTCGTTTGAAGCAACAAAAGTGTTCCAAATCTAATGAAGGATACTTAACAACTAACCTGATGAAGCTTTAGCTCAGCTTCAGCTGTATATTCCGAGAAAAACAGCATTCTAGGATCTCAATTTCAAATCAAAAGTTGCTGAATCATGTTTTGAATTGAGCCTGAATTCAGCGTCCGAGACGCGTTCTCACTGAGCCGGTTGCAGCTATACGCGATGTCGCGCACTGATCCGACGAATTATAGCAAACCGCACGCGCGCGCGTGTGCGTCGTACCAATGCTTGCGCGCGCTTCGCCGAATAACAAAACGAACTACTAATTTAAATTTTCCGACGGTGCGTCTTAAGACGCACAGTTGGATAGGCTTTCTTTCGTTGATTACTTCAAAATGACAGCTTGCCAGGAAAAATAATTCCACAAGGAGTTTAGTTCCCTTACTGTCTTTCAACCAAGTATGTTTTTCAACAATAATTACGCCAGCTACTTTTCGGATGGCTGCAAATGATGGACTCTGGCTTTAATTCATTTCTTGCAAAGTATGTTTTAACCATTTATCTGTGTGACTTATTGGCACGATATTACAAAACATTTTTTTCTGCTATGATGTGGGATATGTGGTTTTTAGCCCTTGGTTTGTTTCCATGGATCGAACTATCAGGATCGAGGATTCAAGTTTGCTTGAAGATAAATTGTAATGTACATGTACCCCAAAAAAAACCAATATTGTAAAAGAATAGCAATAATTAAACATCAACTATTATCAAACAGTTTTTAAAGGTTTAAATTTCTCGAAGCAGTTAGAAATTATTTACAAATCACAGATATATTTGGGGAACAGTTGTGCATGGACCGAGTTTTGGTTGAGAATTACCACTAGTAGGACAGAGTAAAAGAGTAGATTTATTTACAGTGCAGTGTTTTAAAGTGATTATTTGTGGGTGGGCCCTTTGTTTTATTTGAATTCATCGACAATGACAGTAAAAAGTGTCGACCCATGCAAACAGTCTCTTTAAGAGAGTAAGCATTCCGTCTTGTTTGTTTTCAGACGTAAGATTTGTTTGTAAGATTTGTTAATATAGCTTATGATATATGGGTATTAAGATGATGCCTTCCCTAGCAGATGACATCCAAAAGGTTCACATGCAAGTTGAATACTGTCTCCAACTGTCTGTCTCTAACATAAAAACTTTGAGACGGCCATGTGTTAGACCCCTTGCTCGATGTGCCTTATTTAAATTCAGTTATTTAAAGTACAATGTGTCTCAGAGGAACAAACACTTGCTCTTAGATGTGTCTTCGGATTCAAGGGGTCTGTTGTGCTCTGACTGTCTGAATGACTGACTGGCCGAGATACCGAGTGAGAGTAAAAAGTCCTAAATTGAGTCTCTCGGCTCGAAAGGGCAAATATTATTTTGTTGATCACAAAATTTGCTTCCCTCTTTGTGAATTACAAAACAACTGAAATAGTCGGTAGCTTTTTGCCAGAATAATTCTCGATGGCAGCCTCTTTACCTCTATAGCTTCTTGCTCTTTCACGCTTGATGTTTGACCGCAATTTGCAAACAGTTGCAATGACGCCGACTATGAACACAGCCACCGCAGTCGGTATAAGGATGGCGAGCAGCAATACCTCTGTGAGAAATAAGACATAAGACATAATATGACCATCAGCATTAGGAGCTTTGCAATATGGAAGGAGGCGGCACCACCAGCAAGCAATTGATATTAGGTTTCCTCAACTTAGACGTTTGTGCCCAGCTCGACTTAACAAAGATGGTCTCTTCAACATACCATGTTTGTCGTCGGCAATCAGTTTCACGGTCATCTCTCTGAACACTGTTCCTCCGTCGGGAAACATCGCCCTGCATGTGATGCTTCCCTGGTGATGCTCTGGAAGTATCTGCAGATCGATCCGACTCGAGGTTTCCCAGTCCTCGTTGCTCTCATCTTGGCGTGACTGACTCCAATCTGGAGGGATCTCTGTCTGTCCCATTCCCGAACGGGCCTTGGTATTGATCAGCCAGGTGATGTTACTGGCTGGATTCGAACCTGACGCGTTGCAGGCGAATCGATAGCGACTTCCGATTGTGACATCAGCGCTGCACTCCGTGTCGCTCTCACATGAATGTGTGGTGTTGACATGCAGGGTCACGGCGCTTGGTGGATCTAGAATAAAACCACCGTAATTTACGACCAAGCTTTTTTTTCGACTTTCAACCCAAGTTCAGTAGTTCAGTTTTCGCAAGGCAGGCTGGTTCCCGCCCTTAACCAGAATCGAAAATGTAGGGACCTGGATTCAGTCTACTTTTTTTTCACAGGGTTGCAGAAACTCAAAGTAGACTCGGCGAGCCGGTTACTTTGGAGTCGGTTACTTTGGGGTTATTCCGTGACTTTGGGGCGATTCCGAGTATTTTAGCAATACTCGGAACTCTCACAGCTGTTCAGGCTACACAGAAACTAATGACAAACATGTCGTCTTTCATTTTCCATTCAATTTTTGTTGGGTTGACCAATGAATTTTTGAGAAATTCTCACCCCCAAAAGACCACCCCTAAAACGAATGATGTTCCCCAAACTGGAAAAGTAGCCATTTAAAAAAAAAGGTCTCCTGCACAACATGGCTAAATAGCGCCACTTTTGGACCCAATCACATCCAAAATGCTCAGAATCGGAAGCCCCAAGTCCAGGCCAGAGCCTAGTACAGTGCTATATATGTCTTCAATTCCCCAATTCCATGGCTCTCTGAATTCTCTAAAATATAGAATAATTTGAGTGCATAATTTTTATTCATGAGCTCGGCGGACGTATTTTTGGCCTTTTTTCTGGATTGAACCATTGAGCCAGACTCTAGTAAGCGCGATAAGTCACGTGAGGGTTACATCGAAAGCAGTTGCGGTTGTACGAGTATAAGCGCGGGGGAAGTAATCGAACGCTGTGGATCACGTTCAAATTAAAGAATAAGGTATATATTTAGCTATATTTAAATGAGAGGACAACTTACACATTACGTGGAGTGTCAAGGTCGAGTTTTTCTCAATCGGATGCAGCAGACACATCAACGTGGATCCAGTCTGGTTTCTGTGCAGCGTTATCATTTTGCTACTTTCAAGCGTTGCTGGAAATTCGTCGGGGTGCTCGAACAATGGATACCCGTTAAGGAGCCAGACTGAGTGTGAGAAATAGTCTCGATTGTAATATTCTCTTCCGACTGAACATTTAAACTCCGTCCCTTGCCCTTCTATTTCATACCGACTTATTCTGGACAATACTACCTCCTGCGAAGAAACTGGAGAAAATGACATTGGGATATTGTATTATTCCATTTCGGGAAGCAATGACAAACTGAAGCAGAATATTTTATGATGTACAGTGAAATCTCGATAAGTCAAACTCTGATAACTCAAAACAACTGTTAAGTCCAACAAAGAATCCATTCCCTTCAGTAGTATAACAATGATATACAACCCTGCTTAACTCAAAACTCTAAGTTTTGAACCTATTCCTTTGCGGTTTGAATTATCGAGATTTCACTGTAATACACTGTTTACTTTGTGCACATTTGCCTCATAAAGGCCAAAGAGTGACCACGCCCATGAAACCGACTACAAAATAAAATAAAAACATTTACGAAAATATCCTGATAATAATTCCCCACAACTGATCCCAAGGTGTGTATATTACTCTGACGTCATGATGACGTCATCAGGTATGAAATGACAAGCGATTTAAAAAAAAGTATTACGGTTTTGTCCTTTATAACTCATGAACAAAATGAACTATCACGCACATACTCTGCGACCTGAACGACCATACCTTAATGAAAATGTAAGTCAAAGTCGTCTGACCTTTCCTTCCGGGGCTACCGGGATATTAAAGTTAGGTGAATTCAAAATATAGAAATGAGCCTCTAATCAAAACAAACCAAGATTTCTTCCAAACGGTTGAGGTGGTGATCATAAAACCTTGTATGAACTAGGACCTAAGTCTGAAGATGTTATAACTTTTGTGACGTCATCATGACGCCATCAGGTATCAAATCACAAGCTGTGTAAGTTCAATAGTGGACTAATTACTTTGGATGTTTACTTTTAAATGATTGGAGTGCCGTTTTCATTGTTGGTGATCGGTTTGACATTGCCTCGGGCAATATTTTGGATTCTCAGGCACAACGCCGTTTGACCTTTACTTCCGATGTTACCGGAAGTGCAGTGAAAATTGAATATAACTTGAAAATGAAAGCTATTTACAACAGATACACAAATTATGGAAGTCCTTGGTGAGGAATGTTAAAAAAAAGGACGCCCTCTAGCAGATCTTCAAAGACAGTAGAACATTTTTAATTTAAAAAACATTCATCACAATTTTACCACATTGCCCCTAGATATTCTTTATACAACCACAAATGACTTTGCAAGGTTTCAGAATCATGACGTCGTCGTACCTGAAGTTATCGTTGGGAGAATTTAGAATGATTTTTCCCCCATGTTCGTAGCACAAATAATGATATCGGGTACAATATTCATCTTCAGCTTCAGAAGTTCTCGTCACTTCATGGTGAGTATATATCCTCTCTGACTTAATCAGCATTCAGTTTGTACATTTTTACTGATGACGTCATGAAACCAGAAATAACGTATACGTGCTCATAAAAGTTTATTGAAATTGATCATAATACAAAGATGCCTTTGTTAACATGAAAACTAATGGTTTCACTGGAATGGCTGAATTTCAGAATAGTTTTGTTTTTCTGTTGTAACATAACAAAATATTCACAACTGGGCAGTGTCATACGAAATAGTTTTCGGTCCGATCACCTAGTATTTATAACTCAACAAACACGAATCTCTAGGTTTTTCCCCCAAAGATAACACAAATGACAAGTAACTTACTGGCAACCTACTTACCTGAGCAACATTTGTTGAAGATGGAGACAATTAAAAACAGGTATCCGCAAGAAGATCGCTTCCCTAGTGCCATCGTGTGTTAGTGTGGTGTGGTAGTTTGCACAAAGTTATAATCATATGTATTCACCTGGATTGATTGATTGGTTGATTGTTTTCAGATATACCGAAAAAAAGATCACATGTCATGCTGTTTCACTTTCTATATTTACATTATTTATTACAACTACTGTACATGCAATAAACGGCCAAAGATAGTATACAGTGCGAGTCACAAAATATACACTTTTAGAATTGGCCATAGTTTTATTCTGTAGCAATTCAGATAAGATATGTTCATATGTAATTTTAGAGTAACTCTTCCTGCTTCTTTTGGTGACATTTTCACTTGATTAGTTTTCATGCATGACTGCACAGGAGACAATTAAAGGGGTCGGGTGAAATCTGACTTGTGCCAACTGGTCAGGGCTGGATAAGAAAGAGACAATTTAAAAGAACACACTATATGTAAATATAGAAAGTGAAACAGCATGACATGTGATCCTTGTTTCGGTATACACTGTATAAGGCATGACAGGCAATTGCACTTTATTATGGATTGAAATGTCGATTATTGCTCACCTCAATTCAACATAACCAAGCACAGAAGTAAACAAACCTAAGAGAACGTGAACGAGTAGGATAAACAAAAATATATGGCTTATATATATTTTTAAAATATATGGCTTACTTATAAACAACAATAACAGCAATAAAACGCAGGTTCTCATCAACGTGAAAATGTCCAGTAAATTCCATGCTTTAATCAAAAGTTATCTCAATTTAATAGAAATACCACAGCGTTTTGCTGTCCACCGCTGATCATTTACCGATACGCATTGATGATTACCTGTTAATTATAACGAACATTGTTTTTTTTTCTATCACATGTTTGAACGGAAACGTGCAAAGGAAAACAGACGAAACTCAATGTCATCATTTCAGAAAAAATTGATTTGTTTACCAAATTCAGAAAAGAGAGAAAAGTAATGTTGCAGCCTTGACTCAAATTATCAAAATAAAATAATGTATCTGAATGTCTGTGTGTAATCTCTGGTTCACACTCAGCTTAAAAGCATTCCAGAGGCAGCTGTAAAGATAATGGGTTCGGTTATTAAAACATGGCTAACTTTTGATATACCATGGATCAATTTCAGTATTTCTTTTTTTTTCACATGAGTGGAAGAACATGCTCGTCTAATACGTGCTTTAATGGTTGGTCAAATACAATTGCTATTTTAAGGGGAAAACATTAATCCAAGTCTCTTTTTGACTCATCCTGTAGTCTGTTGTGGAAAGAAGGAATAAGAAAACAAGATCATTTATCTAGGCCTAATGGTAAAATTTAAATTGCCGGACTTGACTGGAGGCGCAGATAATTATTTAGATGAAGTTCTCCGTAAAGTACCAGTTTGTTATTAACGGTGATAGACATATAAGGATTTTCAAATCTTGAAGCATCGAACCACCCCCCCCCAAAAAAAATCTCGTTCACAAATTCAGGGTTTCACTTCGGCCCAGTACCAGCCCAAATTGTGTCCAATCTCCAAGAAGGAGATTAGATATTAGAGGGCGCCATTTTAAAAGTAGCCGGCGGTATCATGCCAAATCTGAGGGCCGAAAACTCGAATATCAGTTGATTTAGCCCCGTTCAAAGAGTGAGCTTTTTTATTGTCGAGTATAAAATATAAATGGGAGTACAAAATGTACTTTTGAGTAGAAAACGACTCTCTATCTATTTGAGATTTGAGAGGAATTCCCAGTGAAGACGTCAGTGTCATCGAAGATTGATATTTCACAAGTCGGAGATCGTAGGTTCGATTCCAACCCAGCACATCTTATTTTTCCCCGGTTAGAAAACGATGCCACAGATATGTGAATCGTTTGCCCCCCTCGAAAATGGTGGTGGCCTCTTGGTAGATCTTTCTGCTCTGAGTCTAGAGGTAGCGGGCTGAAAACCCGGCTAGAGTTGTATTTTTTCTTTCACTCTACAAGTACAAACAAGCTTCATATGTTTACAATTAGAAGTCCTGCTGCAGAAGTGCCGGTGGCCAGGAGGTAAATCACGGTTCGAGTCCAGAAGTAAACTGCTCTGCTGGTATATCGACCCGGGTGGGAATCGAACCCACAACCTCCGGCATGAGCGTCAGAGTACCTACCACCAGGCCCACACGCTCTGCTTACATGAGGTGTACAAACGTAATATTTAACTGCATGTATTGTGCTTGGAATAATGCGAACAGTAAAAGAAAGAAATATGGAAAACAAAGTAGAGTTAGCGCGCATGCGCTTTCTCATGAGGGTTGAAGAAAGTACAGCCAAGTCAGCGCGTATGTCAACTCGTTCTTTGGGGATATTTCAAAGCTCAAGCATAATTGGTGACTTTTTAAATTTCTTGTAGAATGGCTAAATGCGGTTATAATTCTAGACTGAAATTGGGAGTCAAAAGAAGTGTTTGCCTTAGCTTTTATGTGTTTACAATTTGAAGGAAACACTGTGCAGCGAATTGTTGGAAACTGCTGGGACTGGCAAAATGAAAACACAGAACAAATTAAAATTGTGACTTGCTCGAATGTGGCATGCACTAATTTATTCATCACTTTAAAGTAGTGCAATGGAGAGTTAACTCCGAACTTCACGCTAAATTTAGTGAGCAATAAACTCAATTTACATAAATAAAAGCAATGGTTTTGAATGATCTTAATATGTTGAACTTGATCACCTAAACTACTTTCAACAAAGCTGTACTCAAAAGAATAGAAAGCTGGAATAGATTGTAGGTATATACACCAATTTAAAAACATACATCTTAAATAATTTTGCAGCAACTTGCCATGAAAATATCTTAACATAATAAACTTTCTTCCTATTGTCTTCAGTGGAACTATAACAAAAATGTCGGTGTAAAAAGCTCCCAAAAGTCACGACTATTATTTTATTATTCACGATAGAATCATTCACGTGCTAGCGATTCACAATTAACTTACGACTTCACACATCGATATCAATATCACTCTTCAAGATGGAAGAATATATACAATGCAATAGACAGGACAGTCAAATTTACTTACTGAAAAAAATAGTATTTTGGTTGTAATATGCATTTGTACGATGCAGCAGCTCCATATCTCTGACTAGGCTGAAGAAATGCAAGACACGCAACTTGCACATGTCTCACGTGCATCGGGGAAACTGATTTTTCTGCTCAAGCGGTTAACTTCATCGACACCATTGGCAAGATGGTTCCACCTGAATCATTCAACCACATTACAACGAGTGAAATCTGCAGGCGTTTTAACTGCATGTTTCAAAAAGGTTAATTGTTTACAAAGACAAAAATGGAATGTAATTCGCTTTCTACACACTATTAAACTTTAGTATACGCATTGTTACAGCGCCTTTTCTTACAACATGTATATGTAAAATATATTGCAGAATGACAATAAAAATCAACAATTTACATAATTTAAAAGGCTCATCTTTCATGAAGCAGTTAGAAATTATTTACAAATTGCATATGTATTTCGGAAACAGGTGTACATGGCTACATGCACAGAGTTTCGGTTGAGATTAACCTCTAGAACTAAAATGAAAAATTTATTTAGTGCATTAAGTGTTGATTGGTGTCAGTCAGCCCCTTGTTTTGTGACTTCAATTTACCGACAATGAAAGTGCAAAGTGTCAAACAAGCATATATACAGTGGGACAAAGCATGTCATCGGTGAGGGCGCTCTATATGCTACGATGATTTATAATTGTTATGCGTGTCATTTCACAGCACCTAAGTCTCTTTTCATGATGCCTTTATTTAGAATTTATTTTTCACCATGTTGAACAGTGACAGCAGAAACGCTGCGAAGTCCCGAACGGCTGTACAAGTCTCACGTCTGTCAGCTGAAGAATTGTCTGTGGAACCATGAGATTCATCTGTATTGGGGATTGAGTTTCAGACATGAATGTCATTTAGTTACATTTCTCTGATATTTGATGGGAGAAAATATGGAGGCTTGAAACAGAGGGAGGGGCGGATAGGACATAATAGTCCAATACCTGATAAGGCCAAAAAAAAAAGTCTCCGGTTTCTGGTATGGAGCTTGTCCAAAAAGTGGTGCGGCGACGCGGCTTTTTTTTTTTTTTTACCTGACTTTTTTGCTTCAAATGTCGACTGATAACTGCAAATGGTTCCCGACTAAACTTAGAGCAAATATATGGGAGTCCAGAGAGGCCACATGAAGCTCATTTTCGATCATAACCCCATCTAAAAACACGTTAAAATTGTGCAGTCAAACCAGTGAGTTTGGCGGTTTTGAGACATCATCTTTTATTGAAAAAAAAACGTTTTCTTTTTGCCGACGCGCATGGCTACGGCGACGCGCGCGCATACCAGAAACCGGAGACTTTTTTTTTTTGGCCTAAAGGGACAATTTATATATTTACAGTTAAACAGGTGTTTAACCGGACAGTGCTATTGTAATAGGATTGTGCCGTAAAACCAGAACGAGTGGGATACATCCGGCCCACTGTATAGACCAGATGCATGTAAAGACTTCAAATGGATAGCCATTCTGAATTCATTAAAGAGCAATCTGTGCGCTTTGGGACCAGCTTTACTAGGCTTGCCTTGTCTTGTTTCATTCTATTGAAAGTGAAGTTAATGAATTGTGAAAAAAGTTTGCTTGTCAATATTACTGTCTATTTTTCAACCCTCAGTCGAGAGGCTGGAGGGGTATTGTCATTGCCTATACGGCGTCCATTCGTATGTCCGGGCAGCTTAGTGTCCGGATGATAACTTGAGTTACAAATGTTGTTTGGGATTGTTACTTCGTCAGGGGGTTGCCCTTTGGAGTAGGCAAGTTTGGATTGATTCTGGGATGAAAAGGTCCAAGGTCAAGGTCACCGTAATGAATTAAATGTCAATGGTTTCCGGATGATAACTTGAGTTAGAAATGTGATTTGGGTTTCTAACTTCAGAAGGGGGTTGCCCTTGGGTACATGCAAAATGGAATGAGTTTTGGGGTCAAAAAGTCAAAGGTCAAGGTCACCGTGGCGAGTTAAAGGTAAATGGTTTCCGGATACTTGAGTTAGAAATGTAATTTGGGTTTCTCACTCCATGCCCCAGTAGGGGGCTATTGCCCTTGCTGGTACAGGTAAGTTGGGATTTGGTCTGGGGCCAGAAGGTCAAAGGTCAAGGTCACAGTGATGAGTTGAAGGTGGTTTCCGGATGATAGCTTGACTCCGGCTGAGGGGTTTCAACAGCAACACTGTTATTTGAGTATTCTTTATTACAACGAATGACTGATTATAATTTTCTTATTTTTTATATTATTGTTTACCTTGAAGAACCGTGACAGTAACAACACCTCCCTCCTCTGTCCATTTTGTTGCAACTGAGGCCGGTTCTCTCGGCATTATACTCTGATTAGCCTCGGATTCATCTAAAAATAAAGGGCATAGGTCATATCACAGGTCATAGGTCACACTGATTGCAACATATGCTTGCAATCCTGTGTTACAACGGTCAAACTCCTTTTAAAAGTTTTTGAAGGGAGGGAAGTGGTTTGGCTACTTATTCTTTTTCAACAAAACAAATAATTGTACGGTCGAAGATTTTAAGGTTTTGAGTGTAAAGGGGTGTACGTATGGCTCATTTTTCTTTCAGTAAAGTAGCCATGGACTACCTATTTTGAACTGCATGTATATCGCTTTAAATGTTTAGAGTTTAAGATGCTGAGATGTTCGTTTTGCATTTTGGCTACTCTTTGGCTGCCCGTTGCAATGATGTACCAGCTGAAATGGGGAAGGTAGGGTTTAGAAGAAGCCCGTAACTTTGACTTCTGATTAGTACATTCTTTGATTTTAATTAAAATAGTGTGGTATTTTCAGCTCGTTTCACTATGAATAGGCCTATTTGTCAAATTAGCTACGACAGAAGCAGGGGGCAGTTTGGAAGCACCACAGCTACAACAACCCCTCCCAGCTCTGTGTGTTAATGTAATGATTTTGGAACAGTTTACCTTGATTTTCCCTCCTCACAGCTTCATAAATGTTTCTATTTCTCCTCTTCACACAGATGCAAATGCCTATGATAACGCCGATAGCAGTGATGAGTGCACACACTACAGGAACGACACTCTGCACAGCCGAGCCATCTGGAAGTTTTGCTGCCGAAAGAAAATGGAAATGCTGCTTCAGGTATGCGGCGGTGTGCTATTCATACACCTTCAGGATAATCATGCAAAGAACATTTGTTTTGACACGATCAATAGTCGGTGTTTCAGTCAAAACCAGATACAAGACCAATACGAGACCAATTGTAGAGAGAGTCCAAGAACAGCCGCAAGACCAGCCTCAAGTAACTGGGTACGCACAATGACAAAGAAATTCCTTCGGGGCAATTAATTTGAATCGCTGGTGGCTTGAATTGAGACTGGAGGTTTTGTGTCGGTCTGATGATGGTCATATGATCTCAACCACAACACTGTCAATAGTGTAACCACATCATCAAGAGGTTGAAATACAGGAGGTTACATGGACATGCGGTTTAATATACAACAAAATACTAGCAAAACTTAAGATATTAAGAAGATTCTAAAATTGCGACTCCCCATGTCTTTGCAGGACTTGCAATGAAATTAAGAGACCTCGCTGAGATAATACAAGTATCTAAACTGTTAAGGATTTCAACCTGACAAAAATGCAAAATATTGTTGTTACGTATTTTGTTAAAAAAAATTATCTTTATTTTATATACACTTTGAAGTACTTTTTATTGTTCATGTTTTTTTAATGAGTGAGTCTATAAATAAACACATTTAATTGTAGCATAACTGGTTTTAGTTGTTAAAGGAATAGTAAATGTAAAAATATCATATGAAGTTCACATGTACACATTAGTTTTTAACTGCGAGACATGTTTTTTAATAAACCATTACAAGTACTACAAAAAAGACTAGATGTTCAGAGTGTCTCACTGTCTTGCTGAATGTGTATTTAACCTCACATTAATGGTTGTTTTGGCAAGTGGCAAGCTGATCATCTTGACACTTGCCTAACAAACATATTTCCTGTGAGGTTAAATCCACATTCAGCAAGACAGTGATCTATAAGACGCTCTTTCGGCTTTATTTAGATGTCAGTTTCTAACTTCTGATTGTTGAAATGTTTGCTGATATCAGGGAGCCAGAACAGAGTCCTCTTTGTACCTATCTCACTGACTCACTGACTGACTCATTGACTAGACTGTTACTTGTAAACCGAACTAAAATGGGATTATCTCGCTGAAACCATGGATTGGCTAGCCTGTTCATCACCAGTCTTTCGCAGCACTTCAATAACTGTGCAAGCCAGTAATCAGATAATCGGTTACATGGGGTTTTGGATTCACACACAAGCTGATACAATGCTTTCGCCATTGGTAATCACGTACCCGGATTTGTCTACATCTAGTCCACGTTGTAGAACAATGCAAACAAAGACGATGCCACAAGCTTTCTGTAACATTTCGAGATGCCTTTTTTTGATTTAACTATCAGCAGAGGTACTTTATTGCCACACATTTTTAGTGATGTTATACAGGGTGGTAAAATAAAACACCGGAACATCAGACTTCCACTACCTTGATACTCAAACCACCTGTACAAATTGATGGAGAATTATGATACCAACATATCTCAATTCGGTCAAGTAGTTTCTGCTGCAGAGCCTATTTTGTGAAGGATACTTCTTTCATGAGGGCATTATTAGATAACGATCCCTATATCAATTAGAAAATAAGCCAAATACCCGGGCGCGGTTTAGTAATTCATCGGGACAAAAATCACCTTGCTTCACAAAATAGGCTCAAGAACAAAAACTACTGGACAGAAGCTGGCGATCTTGGTTTCATTTTTCTTCTAAAGAGATTATCCGTGCATTGTTATAATTGGTTTGAATCTCCGAATAGTGGAAGTATGAGGTTCCGGATTTTTTGACCACCCTGTATAGTTCATTGTAATCCCACCTTGAACGGTCCGATTTTTCTGAGAAATTAGTTCATCACTGTGGTCAACGCTCCTACTGGTTGCACTGTCCATTGTTGAGCCCGGAACTATTAATAAAATGTAGATTGAAATGGTGAGACCAAATCTGAATGTTTCATAACAAATAATACAAAATAAAGTTGGCTAGCAAGTGCAAATGTAGAGGACTTTGTTCAGGTGGATAGCCTTTTGATAGAAACATGGAAGAGTTGATCACGGAGAAAGCCCAAACAGGAAAGGGCGAATTACACTTTATTGACGATTATGCCTTACATGCAGACAAAGCATTGAGCCCAGCAAGGAATTTACTATTAATCAAACGTGTAAAACAAGCAGGCAAACGTTGGTCATTGAATTACCTGTCTCAATGACGTCATAATATGCAGAAGACATTTCTTGGTGATGCAGAAACACATGACACCAGACACGACTGGTTGGCATGTCTAATGTGTTTAAAACCAACGAGCCACCAACGGTGATGTTGTAATCGCCACGGTAATCATCTGCAACCATGATTCCCCCACCAGAGAACTTCACACCGATGATGCTGGTTCTCATGGTGTCTCCGCTGCCAAGGGACCAGTAGACAGTGGCAGCCTGTTTGTGCATGCGCAGTACGGGACATGTCAACTTCACGTGTCCTTGCCCTTTTTCGAGAATGTTTACAACCTGTGCATTGTCCACGATTGGAAATGTGGGACCTGTGGGAAATATAAAAGAACAAGTCTGTATTAACAGGAAGTTCGCAATAACTGTATGGGTAGAGGGTGGGTTTACATAATTATGTACACGGTGAAATATTTTTCTTGCCTTAAACTCCATGTGATACTAATAAAACCAAAACGATTTCAGTTTGAACTAAGAGACATCAAGGACAATGCTCTTTTTTCCATAAATAGTGAAAGGACAATTTTACGGAATGAAAGACTTTAGATACTGAGAAAACTGTGCAGATTTTAGTTCTAAGCAAGATTTTAGGAAAGCAAAAGTGATTAATTGGGTACCGACACACACATTCGTAAAAGTCATTGGGTGGGACTCAAACCAGGATCCAACAGCATGGAAAAGAGGTTAATTAGCACCATAGAAATTATTGTGCAATTAGTTAATAGTAATGGCAAGTGATGCATGCAGATGCTTCACCTGACACAGTAACTCGCACTGATCCTTTTCTTTGCACCCCTGTCGCACTGGGCACCACACCGCACACGTAGTCTCCTTCATCAGCCGCTTGAACTTGGTTTATGACCAACCCGTATGAACTGGACATCCAGTAATGACGACTCGAAATAAAGTTAGTACCAACTTCTGGGTTGGCGTATCGGGCTATAAGTTGGCTTCCTTTGAACCAGAAGACCAAACTCACGGACTCCTCTTCCCTGTAGCTTGGACACTGAATGTGATGAGTCTGGTTCCGGTGTACGTAGACCTCACCTGCTGTTAGGTCCATGGCCTCTTTAAAGCTCGGGACATCAGCTGAATGAAAATAAAATCGAACATTTCTAAAATGGACGCACAACAGAAGCTTCGTGTAAGAGGAGATTTTGACATTAGTGCTTTCATTACCATTTTCTAATGATAAAGCAAGTTCATTGATTTCTTCAACTCTTTCCGAAAATTTATATTGATGTTATATATGCTGAATTTTAAAACTGGGGGACTTTTGGGTAACATTTCCTTGCATATATTTTGTATTAATATATTCTCATTGTTTGCTTTTTTGACATTAAGAACGCCCCGATTATAATGCAATTTTTTCGGTATTTTTTTAGACGGGGTTAACCTTAGTACAGGGTTAGTCAGAAAACAAGAAACCCACGTGTCGGGACCATTGTTTTAGTGAAGTTCTGTACGTAGCACTTTCAAAATCTCAGATATGAGAGCCCATTTCGTAAGCTCTCTTTCAGTACAAGAATTATTCGAATCACTCATGTAATTTGCAAGTTACGGAATTTTACACGCAACCACCGTTTTAAAGTTCTATCCACGGATCACAAAAATAGAAGTGTTCTTTCAGAAAATCAAAACAAATCACATAGGGGTGTATGGTTTTCGTTTTGCTGAAAGAACGCACGCCTTTTTGTGATATGTGGACAGAACTTTAAAACGGTGGTTGTGTTTAAAATTTCATAACTTAAAAAATATTTAGCTATGAGGGCCCTAATCCCAACAAATTGTCTTCAATCAGTAAAATGTAATGCAAATATATACTCACTCAGGACAGTGACAGAAATAGTTTGCCTCCTCTCTAACGCAGTAGCGCTGGAGACTACACTGCAAACATACTCCCCCTGGTCCCTCATGTCGACATGACTTATGATCAAATCATGCGAGTGGGACATCCGATAACGATCGCTCGAAGCATAACTACTGTCAACTTTGCGATCGGTATAGCGGGTAAGTAGTTGTTCCCCTTTGAACCAAATCACGTGACGCAATCGTTCGTTATTGTTGTAGCTGGGGCACCGGATGTGCTGAGTTTGACCTCTGTGAAGAATGACCTCGTTCGGTGAGAGGTAAGTCGGTAATTTGACATTCCCAGCTGCGAAATAAATAGATTTTTAAATACGTAAGGTGCTAAATTAATCTGATTAAAAAAATAAAATTTAATTTATCTAAATTAATCTTAATTTTTGGTGTTCTCAATTACTTAGCTTACTGTTGCTGACAATGACGCAAGGTAGTTTGAAAGAGGAAGTCTAAAACTCCAACTTCAGTTTTTGCTAGTCCGAGGGGACAGCCTATACTATTCCTTTATGTACAACACTGATTTACTGACTCACTCTCACTTATGAGCTGAGCATTGGTACTGTATAATTATGACTGATCCGTTATGCTATTTTTGTGTGACCAGTCAATATTCTAACATACAGGTCTCATCAGGAACATTTTTAATACGCGTAATGTTACTACCGCATAGGCTGTACGTTATGATGAGCCATTTACTTTAAGAAGCAGTTCCCTCTGTAGTTACAGAAAACGTTTGCTGTAGCGCCCTTGCTTGTTTGCTTACATTGCTGCATCCAGCAAGCACTTTTTGGGATAGCCAGCTGTATTCAACGGGCACATTCCGACATATCTAAAATGCTGGTGTATATTGTTGTCGTTCTACTCAGCTGCTCATGCGTGCTTCATCGCAAACTTGGCACTGTTTGGGGTCACGTACGTGATTCAAAAAGACTTTCGATCGTTCATGTGGGTCGCTTTTTCGCTTGAGATTTATTTATTTATTTATTATTTTTTTTTAGATATTTGAAGCTATCACACAGGGCAAACAAATACTGAACATAAAACCTGACGTGGCGATTTTTTTTTTTTTTTTTTTTTTTTTTTTACATAGAATAGGTTTGTTATCGCTAGATGGTTTGTTTTGATAAAAAATAACCAATTTTAAAAGCCCACTATATAAACGGTATTGTTTTAGTGTTTTTTGGATTGCTCGATAGGTAGTACCAGACCTCAACAAACTTGAATTATTATGTTTGAAATCGTACTCAATGTACTTAGAGGGCAGGTTCTGACCGGCAAACTGGGGCTAAAAACCTAAAGTGAGAGTTTGATTTTTATGAAGCAAGTATTTGAATATCGGTGATAAATAATATAAGCATGTAGCGCTATTTTTAAGTGTTTTATATGACGACAGACGACATTTTACACACAACATTTAATCAATTCCGACGAATAAAAAACATGTTGGTTTTTAGACAATATTCAAACGCGACTGTTCTCGGCAATCTACTTGCACCGATTAGAATGTTCGTCTTCTAATTAATGTAGTGAAGCACAGACTTGCGACAAAAACGAACAGTGCAACCATTACAATTGGAAAATTAAGATCCATTTTCAGAAGTTGAAATTCCCGCTTTGGTTATTGAGGGCGCTCTCATTCTTTCATTGGTAGCCGAACTACTGTTGAAAGGAAGGCAGCCGATATGAAAAAAAAATATTAAAAAAAAAAAGTACGTTGAAACATTATTGAAACATTAGTGAAACTTTAATGGTCATTCTGTTTGTTAGAAACCAATTAATCGGGCTAAAAATGGTTTCTGGAATGAGAGTAAACACTGTTTTAGGAATTTATGATGGATGTACCTTACCTAACAAATTAATGGTATCGTCAGTGTCAGAGGTCACTGACCTTTGAAAACGTCAGGCACGAAAAGAAAACAAGTTCATGTAGAGGACACGTCATGATCGTTATATATTTCCTACAATTATTTTGATTTCCCCTCCCTTCGCCATCATCAGGGAAAAGACATCTCTGAACTAATCTGGATAATCATATACATGTAACAACAATTTATTGATACATATAGTGCCATTGACGCACCAATCGACATAAAAGAAACACACCACATTACATGTGTATGTCAAATCATCAAATCGTGCAAATTGCGTACCTTATTTATTAAAATAACCTTATTCAATATAACGGTTAAAAAATAGATTAATGATGGTTAGGCAATAAGGCGGCAACTCGAAGGCACTAAACCCATGAACCCTGCACCTCGATCCGAACATCACGTGACGTTTGCATACAAAGTCTTTTTGCATTGTTGGCTTCAGAAAATGGCGCCAATAATAGCGCGCCACACTGAAATACGTAGGCCTACTGTACGCCAGGAAATCACCTAATGATAGATTTTCTCAGATGGTTCCACATATTGGCTACAAGTCTTTGCATGGAACTACACACCAACAATGGGTGCTGCCTTCTACGGCGATTGTGTCAGGTATTTTTCATTTTGTTTTGATGTATGGATAAAACACGCATATACCTGTAGGTCTAACAAATAACGATTACCGAGCAGGTTGAATTCTGCTACTTTGCATGTTTTCACTAATAAAATACATCAACAGATACCAGTCTGCATGTGAACTTAGTTAATAAAACTGCACAGGTAGAATAGGCAAAGCTACTTCTTGTTTGCATCCAGATAATAGTCATGATGAATCAACAATAATTGTTGATTCATATGGCTCTTTTTTTTGTCCATGAGACCAGCTTTAATAAGCTTGAGCTGTCTTTTTCCCACTTTTTCACTGAGCAACCAAAACACACTTTACAATTTCTCAGCAAATACATTTGATGAACGCAGGATAGTTTAACTTTGTACCAATTATTACCTTGATATAAAGAACGGACAGTTGTATTTCATTTAAATTATGTTGAATAACGTTCTGTCAAATCCAAGAAGGCAAGAGCTTTTGTGATCCACATTGAATGTTTGCATATATGTACATTTTTCCAAATCCATACCCCGATATTTATGCCTATTCCGCAGCCTACAACCAAATTGATCACCTAACCGCCATACAAGGTTAACTTGTAGACAACAAATAGCAATAGCATTCAGATCCAATTGTAACAAGCCTAGGCCCTTTATCGATTGTTATATACATGAATATATACATATAAAAAAAGATTATCTGGGTCCCGTACTTACCTGTTCTCGTTAGTCTACCTGCACCAATTGGGTGTTCGTCTTCTAAGTAATGTAGTGAAGCACATGTGTCAAAAACGAACAATGCAACCATTAAAATTGGAAAATTAAGATCCATTTTCAGAGGTTTGAATTTGAATGTCCCACTTTTTAGAGGTTGGAAATTGAGGGTGCTTTCCTTTTATTGGTAGACGAACTTCTATTGAGGGAAATGCCACCCATATCAAAAAGGGACATAAGTAAAAACACACGTAAAAAAAATAACAAAAATAAGTAATACAAGTAAATAATTGATACTTTAATGTCATTCTGTTGATTAAAAACCAATCAGGCTAAAATTTGGCTTGCAGAATAATAGTAAACACTGTTTTAGGAACTTATGATGAATGTACCTCACCTAAAAAAATAATGGTATCGTCTGCAGTGCAGCTGAGTGCGGTTGGGCTTTAAAGCGGGAACTCGCAGGGCCCCGACCTATTGAACCCTGCATCTCAATCCAACCACCACGTGACGTTTGCCTCAATAACTAATTACACCTATTGTTATTGTAAGAATTCAATATTCTTGTTTTTAGGTGTTGGGCTTTAGCCCAAAACCTATTGTTTTTGCTAGGGTCTTTAGTTATTTTTTCTTCTATACACATTCCTTCTCCAGAACTGTGTGTCAAAATGAAAACATATATGAACTTCAATTGTCAATACATGAATGCACAACCTACCGCAGATGTGCTTTTTTGCAATTACGTAATCATGACATAATCACGGGTCACGTGACGTCACTTCAAAGTGTAATAAATTTAATCTTTGAAATTCCATATAAAATCAACCGTGAGAGACCGGAACCTGAAATTTGCGGAAATCGACATGGAAATACATGATCTTCATTTTATTTTGTGAGCGTAAAATCACGTGACCCTTCCTTCCGGTCGAAACCGGAAGTGCCTAATAATTTGAAAGTGGAAAAAGATATGAACTTGCTTTTAACGATTGAAGTGTCTGCCTGGATTGACCTTTCAAAAAAAATAATGGGTGACGCCATGAAGTGTTGGAGCGCCCTCTAGCGGCAGGTTAAAAAACGTCAAAAACGCATTTTCACTTGATGTCTGTGGCGAAGTTTGCGGTAATCGCTTCAAAGTTAATGTACATGATGACCATAATGCAGACAACACCTGTGCGCGAAAAAAAAATGATTACGTCATCAGACCGGAAGTTACAATAAAAAAGACCTTTAAACCTTCAAAAATTGCTAGAAAATATACCGTGATAGATATAATCAAGATTTGGCTGTATATAGCACAGTTAAAATAGTTCTTGAACTTTCTGGTAATGACGTCAAAATGACGTCATCAGGTATCGTGTTACAAGCAATCAAAGATTTCTAGATTAAATCTTTGAAAATCAATATAAAATCAACTGCTACAGATTTGATTTTGTTTTTTTATGGCAATCGATACAATATTGAAGGGTCTTCAGTTTTGGTATTAAGAGCAAAATCACGTGACCCTTCCGGCCGAAACAGGAAGTGCCTTATTATTTGAAATTGGCAGAAGATGCGAACTTGCTTTCAACGATGTGAGTGACTGCCTAGGCAGTACTGTACAAACATATTACAGGTGACGTCATCAAATGTTAGAGCGCCCTCTAGCGGCAGTTTAAAAAACGTCGAAAACGCATTATCACTTGATGTATGTGGCGAAATTTGCGGTAATCGCTTTAAAGCTAACATACATGATGAACTTAATGCAGAAAAGACCTGTGCGTGAAAAAAATGGATGACGTGATCAGACCGGAAGTTATAAAGAAAAGAGTTTGAAACCTTAAACAATTGCTACAAAATCAACCGTGAGAGATATCAGTTATTTCATGTAGCTTTTCTTTCCATTCGAATAACACGCCAAAACCGTGCACAAACATCGCCGTTCCTATATCATAATGGGAAGTACAGACAAAAGATCAACCACTTTTAAGGAAAGGCACAATAAAAGAAAAGTGTAACTCCCCCTCGAAAAAAAGGGGGAAATATCTGGCCAACGTCAATTAAGAGAAAATATTGTGCAGACAGAGCTGCAGGTTCCAAAAAGCAATACATCGAGATTGCAGAGGCACCATATGTTTATGAGATTTACATGACGAGTGGGATGATGGCAACATTAAATTCACTCTAGAAAGACGATGATGACCAGTTCTGTTACAAAAATTCCATGAACGGAAAATTCAAGCCTACCTGGACTGGCGGTAAATGGGTCCGATGTGGATACTGTCTGGGCAAGCGAGACATTAAGCGAAACCAAAATCACCACAATTATTCCTGCGAGACGAATGTCCGCCATGATGCTCTGAATACAAGGAATCGCACTAAATCGATTTTCTAAATGTAGTTAAGCCTGGATATTTTCTTTCCTGTTGCGCAACAACCCACATTCATAAGGAAACTAGCCGGCCCCCCAATCAACACATTTTACGACATAAAGGGTAAAATGTATTATACTTTATATATATCTGAATGCTATTGCGTGAGTTCAATGTTGTTGCGGGGAACAGTGCACGAGAATATTAACGTATTGAAGGCAAGCCGCATGCAAATTGGGATCCTGTTCATCCCGGGGCAGCCAAAATAAGCAAAGCATTGCTTGCGTGCCGTGTGCAAACTTGCGGGCATAATGCCATTGCGGACGTTACATAACCAATTCTTTTTATGTGCCGCGCAAGGATTCTGCGGCAGCCAATTGGCGTAATTGGTTTTTAGCGGGAGCGCGTATGTTGCCGATAAGGGATCTCCATTTTATGTCACGGCTTCAAGCAATCCACATCAAAGTTCGATTGAAACAATTTCTTTTTATGTTGCGCTGCTTGACAAATGAATCGTACAGATTTGTTTATTTTGAACCCTACATCTCAATCCTTTATCACCTTACGTTTGTATCAATAACGAAGTCTGTTTGCATATTGTTGGCTACGGGAAACGGCGTCCATTATTAGGCTGCGCCACATCACTGGTTGTGACTGAACCGCGGAAGGGCGTACTGTGCGTCCGGGAATGATTACCTGATGACCGATTTTCTCAGACGGTTCCACAATACTGCATCACGGTACGGATGTCTTCGCACGATTCAATAGCGGGTGCTGCATTCTACGGAGATTGTGACAGGTATTTCCCATTTTGTTTTGGTGTATGCATGAAACACGCATATCCATGTAGGTCTAACAAATAACGATTTCCGACTCGGGGGTGAGGTTGAATGCTGCTGCAATATTAAATGAAATTTCAATAAGACATAAGGTACTATATTAATTTGATACATATATCGGTGTTCTCAATTACTTAGCTTACTGATGTTTACAATGACTGAAGGAAATTTAATATAGGATTTCTTAAACAACTACAGGTTATACTAGTCCCAGGGGACAGCCTCCTATTCTCTCATGTATAACTCTTATTTACTAACTCACTCTCACTTGTGAGCTAAGTAGTGCTATTGTATAGGATTACCCCGTTATGCCAATTGCGACCAGCCTTTTTTCTCCAACAAACATGTTAGTTTGATTTGATGAAGCCGTATTTTTGAATACGATGATAATTGATTTAGGCATTTATTGCTATTTTAAGTGATTGTATGTCGACATTTTACACAAAACTAATCAATTCCGACGAAAAAATATTAGATTTTTTTTGACAATATTCAAACGCGGTCAATAAAAAAATCAATCAAAAAATCTAGCGAAAACTTGTTCACAAATCTGACTACTTTATAATCCCCTCTACCGTTATTTACAAGTATGAATTTAAACCTTTGAAGCTATATTCTTGTCAAAAATTGGTCCTTAATATAAACAAACGACATCTGAGAAAAAAAACCCGGTTGTTTCATGAAATCACTGTTTCTACACTCTCAGAAAACGTCTTTAAACATTTCTTTGAGAAATAAACTGTGATTAAACTAAATAGTAATAAAATAACAACGGCTCCCTAATTAAGTGGTGTATTTAACAATAAAATGCAAAGATATCTTTTTGAGTCACATCATCGGTGTCTAATCGGCAGCCCTTAATACGTGTGCAAATAACTCTAGGAGTAGCACATGCGCAGTGTAAAGTTGGATAAAACGTATGTGGGCGCTCACACTCTTGCTCTTGATCCAGCAAACCACACCTTCAATTTTTATTCTGCTTTGTGGCGTTATCATTAGCAAAATACGCCTCATACTTGTGGTATGAGGAGTATTTTGCTAATGATAACGGCACAGAGCCTTGCTGGTGTTTTATCCCGACTATTATTTAGTTGACGCTATAAATTCGTTGAAATCATGTTTGAATAATATTGTGTCGAATCCTCAATAATGAACAAGAAGGCAAGAGCTTTGGGATCCACATTGAAAGCTTGCATATGTTTTTTTTTTCCAAATTTATACCCTGATATGCATGCCTAATCTGCAACCTACAACAAAATTGATCAACTAACCGCCACACAAGCTAACCAGTTTGAAGACAAACCATGGCAATAGTATTGAGATCCAACCGTTACAAGCCTAGGCCTATATCGATTGTTGTATACATGTATATAAAATGAATGATTATCTCAGTCCCGTACTTACCTGTTCTCGTAAATCTACTTGCACCAATTGGATGTTCGTCTTCTAAGTAATGTAAGGAAGCACATGTTTCCAAAACGAACAATGCAACCATTAAAATTGGAAAATTAAGATCCATTTTAAAGAATTTCAATTTGAATTTCCCACATAATTTGCAGTGCAGCCGAGTGCATAGTCTGGTTCCCAGCCAAAAGATTCTGACTAATCCCGATGAATCAGGAATAGTCGGAATATTTTGGTCTGGGAACCAGACTACTGAGTGCCGCTGACATGTATTTCAAAATTACTATGTTACATGTATTAACATCAACCGTCAAGCATGGAAATGAAACAAAGGTCATGCAGATGACACTGATCGTTATATATTTCCTACTATTAACTTTGATTTGTATTCCCCCAGCATCATCAGGGAACAAAGGTATTCCAAATTGCTCTGGATAATGATTACATTTTTCATGCAAAAAAGTTCACTATATCATGTAAGGTCTGTAATCGACCATTAATCGACATAAAAAGAAACACACCACATTATGTTAAATCATCAAATCGTGCAAAATACGATATAATTAAATAATATTGTTCAATAATTATTACCGTTCAAAACTGCACCAACAAAAAAACCGGTTGTTTTTAAGGCTGCAACTCGCAGGCCTTCAACCCATTGAACCCTGCATCTCAATCCAAACATCACGTGACGTTTGTATTCTAGGCCTATTAATAACTAAGTCGAGTCTGTTTGCACTGTTGGACTACGGAAAATGGCGGCCTGCGCCACATCACTGGTTGTGACTGAAATTTGCGGTGATCTGCAAGGTCACGGAAGTACGTACTGTACGTCAGGGAATGACTACCTGATGACCGATTTTCTCAGACAGTTCCACAATACTGTATCAGTACAATGGCAGATGTCTACGCACGATTCAACAGCGGGTGCAGCATTTTACGGAGATTGTGACAGGTATTTCTCATTTTCTTTTCATGTATGGATGAAACACGCGTATGCCTGTAGGTCCAACAAAAAACGATTACCGACCAGGTTGGATGCTGCTAGTTTGCATGTGTCACCAATACGTCAACAGCCAGTCTGCATGTGAACGTAGTGAATACAACTGCACAGGTTGAATGGGCATAGCTACTACTTGTTTGCAGCTCCTATACTCATGATTTTAGACACATCAGTACCTGACGTTTTCACAATACAGTGCAATGTAAATCGTTCAATATTGTATATATTAAAATCCATTGATACGTATTTAATACACACACACAATTGATTAAGTCGATAAATGAAAGTGACAATATAAAATTGCACTGAATGAATTATGCTACTGAATATGATCACACATATTTTCAGATGCGTCAATAAATCCATGTCTTGAAACAAAAGATTACAAATTAGCACTGTACAAATTATTCAATATTCAAAATATTAATTCTCATTACAAAGTAGCCTGTTTATAACGCAAACATCTTACTGGCTGATATGTGGAAAAAAAAGTTTATGTATAAGTGCAAAATATATATTTTCGCGTTTACATTATACATTTTTATACAAACGCGGAAGTGAAACGTTTAAGTAGAAGGCTCTTCCTACTTTGACCCACGCCTCCATCAAAGGGGGAAAAGGGGATATGATATTTCACGTGCAACAAATAATTGTAGATACATCAATGACTACCTTACTGTTGCAACAGAGTGAAACAGACTGCAGTGAAAACTATTCAATATTCTACATATTAATTTGGTCCCATTGCTAAAAGCCAAAGTCGAAAAGAAACTTTCTCGGCTTAGATGAACCAGAAATAGTGTGTGGCACGTTCCCGCGACACTGGAATTACCCGGTGGTGGAGCTTTTTCATAAACTTCATTTGAATTTACAGTATCATCATCCTTGTACGTATTTTACTATGTTGTATGTGTAAACGTCATTCAAAATGTAATTACAAAGTCTACAAATCCGTCAAAATAGTGCGATAAAAAAGAAAAGTGTCTTTTGGCTATTCATTTGCAAACAAATCTTTAAATAGTTAAAAGGTGCAAATATTAACTTGTATTTCCTAAAAATACATTACAATGTGAATCATGCATTCTAAAAAGTACGAAGTCCTTGTCAAGCCCTATTTTTAACAACCAGTTATGATGGAGTTTCAAAGCTGTTTCATGTCACTTAACCTGGTTCTACCTTGTAGTGATTTTTATCATGAATCAAGGCTCTCTGATTTATGTCACATATCTTTTATAATTCATGTTCAGGCTAATGAGCGCTGTTTCACTAGAAAAGATGTGTTCAATTCATGAGACTAATTAATTTCTTGACGGTATACTCTCCGTCAATTACAATAATGCAAAACAGTGTTCTGTGATCACGTTAAGAAGGCTTTTATCATAATACTTTACATCCTTCAAGCCCTATTCAGATTTTTTTTTGTTTTTAATCATAGTGACGGGAGATTTCCGTCGAGATCCGCGTACTAGTACCGTTACGAAATAATATCCACGTCTTATAAGGCATGACAACAATAGTAAGGGCATACATTCGTATTTATTACTTCGGGGAAATATCGGGGATTTCACCAACGGTCCCATTTTCGTCAATCATTGTAAAAGCGATAGCGCGCGGGGCACAGGTGGCTTCGGTCAATTATTTAATTGTTTATTCAGTGCATAAACCTTCAACATACCCGAGCTTGTCTAGGGGCTAGACGTTTTTATGGTTGAATGCGCAATTACCCACTGCAGCG